ATTCCAAGTCGCCTTCCTGTGTCCTGACCGCCTGATGGATCCGTCATCACAACGAGTTAGGCAAACATCTAAGTATGCTATCTATTTTTATCCTGTTTTCCCGTAGTGGCCAAGTCTCTGCACCTCAGAACAGCACTGACCGAACTGCTGCAGCATGCACTCGACCCTTCGCAGACGGCCGGATGTCGCGATGACGCCACAGATACATCAAGTTGGCAAATGCCAACCAAACCTTTTGTATGCGTGCCGACATTTCGTCTCTGATCGGAACGCCAGGCGCGATGTATCTGACCAGATAGCAAAATTTGTCTTCTACTTCCCCAGTCAGGGTGAAAGGAATAGACACTTTTATCGAGTGAATCTACTAGCAGGTAGTGAAAATCGAACATGAGATCACCTGATTTGCGATTGATGAAGAAATATGCAACGCTGCGATCCGTGTTTTTTTTAAACTGATTGGTAGAGGTTTTATTTAGTAACAGTCAAATTTAAACCCTGACGGTAAACTGAACAACGACTCCCACTGGATTGCGGTGTCCGCGCACCGCCCCGCCGCCTTGTGGGTCAGGTTTTGGTAAACCAAAGGCTCTGGTTATGGATTCCCCAAGAAAATTCACCTGCCTTGGCCTGAACAACCTGGTAGTATTCGGCCCACTTGCAAATCGTGGAGCGTTTTTCTTTTTATAAAGATTATTGTACCACGATTTGTTTAGCACACAGTCTGGCATCAGATGTATGTGAAATATAATATAATGTATAATATTATATCTAACCGGAGTCAAAGATTCCAAAAACCAAAACTTTTGCAATCCGAGTATATGCACCATCAACCAAGATGAATATCCGTCTGATTTTCACACCTGGTTGTCTCACCGAACACATGCGGCACTACTCAAAGCCACAGTTTGAATCCGTTTTACCGTGTTACGAACAGAGTGACAGGCGTGACAGCCCTCATGCTAAATCTCCCATTCCAGTTACATTTAGCTAGGTATTGACAAGAATCTTTGGTTTCTGGACTCATATTACACCCTTCATCAAATCTCAGTGTTTACACTCCTTTTCCGATACCGCTGATGTTTCAACACCATGGTAATTTTGCTTATCTAATTATTCCAATTTGTTCTCAGTAAACAAAGACAGTTCATCAAGCGCAAATTTGATTTCCTGTCCTATGAAGAAGTTATCGCTTCAATCTGTTGTTTAATCCCAAATCGCCACCGTGTATACGCGTACGGCTGACGTGATTTGTCGTGAGCTGACTAATTTCATGGCCCATGATATTGTCTCCATTTTCCCATCGATCGATATCTCCATGTGTACCCGGGTTTACTACGCACCCACATGCGCTCATCTGTTTTGTTGACACGACAGTTGTGAGTGACTGTGGGGAATTGTCACTTCATTAGTTAGTTCTAGCTCCACACACAGATGAGAGCATTCAGCTCTGATTGGCTGGCTGTGCCCAGAATTTATTATCGAATGAAACATGAAACTGACTGTTGCTTCATGTTTCTCCTTGATCTCGACCGTTTGCTTGTATCGTTGTACGCCCGCTCCGAAAAAATCGATACGCGCGTGCTATTGGTTCGAGATAAGCGCAGTGTTTTTTTTCACAGATCCGGTTTCCGGTCACGCCTTTTCTTGATGAAGTGTTTGAAAAAATGATCGCATCCGGTTTTGTTTTACTTTGCATAATCTGGTTAGAACATGGTCTGAACTGTGCTAGCCCTAGGATTCCGGTCGCTAATTTATTCATTGTTATTCACGAAATATTGCTTCCTCAGACGTAATTCACTCACGTCATCCTCTCTGCCACACCAACAATCCTTTTTTAGCTAATTTTTAACCCTCAATCACCAAAACCGAAGTAAATGATACCAAATCTTGTAGCATCACTTTGAGGATGCAAAGCGCATACCAAATGGAATTACATAACTTGAAAGTTTGCCAAGAGCACTTGACGCATCCTCCGTACGTTCGAACAGACAAATGATGTTGTCAGCCTAATCTAAATCACACAGCTTTTCTCCAACTGCTCATTCAATACCTAAGTTTTGGAGACCACCTAGTGCGTTCCCGGAATTTCGCCTACAACGAAACTACACCGCTCCGGGTTTCGAACAATCTACTTAGACCACTGTAGACCCTTACGCTACCCGAAGTATGCAGGTGCAGTGATCGCGATAGATTCACATACTTCCGCGGCATTCTTTTGCGAAATACTGCATCCATTGAAAATTTACGGTCGACTGAGTCAAAAGCTCCTTTCAAACCAAGGAAAACTGTATTTGTTGATCGACAATATGTGTCCTGCAATTCGAGGACCTAGTGTAAAGAAAGTGAAGATTTAGTCGATGCAACCGCGACCTGGTCGGAATCCTTCCTGTTGTTCGCTAATTTTCATCATCTTGACATATATGCCAAACGCAAAATAAAGTACAGAGAAAATACATCAAAACATCTGCTAAATGGTCTACCTGTGTTATTACGACTCGCCTTTGCGGTGAATATTTGAGGAAACACATGATTTGCTTTTTTCTGTTTGCTTCAAATTCTTTTCCGATGGGATCGTTTTTTCCCGGTTTTTGATGTTGATCGAATATCTTCCAGAATTCACGCACAATTTTCAGTTCATCCAATTAACCATGTTATTCAGAAAGTCAGTTTTCACGTAACGTGCGTGCAACAGGGTCTGTGCACATTCCGTTTTCAGTCTTTCGGAAGCGACCGCGTTATTGTAACTCGGTGAGAGTTTTTATTCTTGTTATCTGCTGTTATTCATTCTAACTGTTTCACGTCCATCGCACTCTGCTCTTCATCCCGATCACCCAATTCCACTATTATTATTATTATTTCAAGTGAGTAATGGAGGATTTTTTTCAATTTCCAAGGTGAATTGTTCGTGTATATAGCAAATGAAGCGTGAACTGAAAAGCTAAAAAGCACTGGACAGCTGTTTCGACCTGGTTGAGTCTCATCAGCAGTGCAAATCCATCGACCCAACTGGGGATCGAACCCGGGACCTCACAGACAGAACGCAAGCGTATATATAACCCACTCGGCCGGTCGTTGGAATTACACTGCTGATGAAACCTAACCAGGTCGAAACAGCTGTCCAGTGCTGCCTAGCTTTTCAGTTCACATTTCATTTGCTGTATGCGCGAACCATTCACCTTCGAAATTGTTATTATTATTATTATTGTGGCGTTGGCACCAAGCTTGCTCACAAACGGGTGGTGATGTATGTATATCCTCGTCCAGAGCATTTTGGCAACAAATGTACATATGCATCAATCTCTTGATGACTAAATGTTTACAATTCAAGCGGTGAGGTTCAGTTTTTAGTTCGTACAACCATCAATCGTGCACTTTCGTGCCCCGGTTTTAGTTGCTGTCTTTTGGGTGAGGCAGTTGGAGAAAGACCGAAGAATTAAAAGTAGAGTCGAAGAAATAGCTGACAATTCCTGTAGACTAAGATTCTCCTCTCTGTTCTTTTCATTTTTCTTCCTTTTATTGATTATGCGATGATACAACTTGGATATTGAGAAATTGTGAACATGCACGACACAGCCACATCACTCAGTATCACCAGTCATCAGGTCTTTGTTTGTCCACCTTTGACTTTTTCCGTCTACTACGTGCCTCGGTGAACATCGCTCGCCGTGGCAACCTATTTGAT